TTACAGCAAAAGAGGAGGATGTCTTGACCTTGTAAGCCTGAAAAGCTATCCTGGGCCATCTCGTCACCCCTCCACAAGGTCCTCCTGCTAATAGTTCAGAAAAATATAACTAATCTAAATATGAGTAACAAAAAGAAATGACCAAAGCTTCTTTCCAATTAAAACATCAGATAAAAGGTAAAAAGGAGCAGCACAATTTTCCAACAGATGATGATGATATACCAGAAATATATTGTCAAAAAAGATGGAAACTGTAACCCAAAATTCCATTATGAATTGAAAAATAAAACTTGGCGTAGCATTTTAGCAATGAAGGAAGGGCATAAACAAAAAATGCAAATACTCAGAGAAGAGATGGCAGATAATAGGAAGGTATGAACGGGAACAGGAGGAAAAGTATAGAATAATAATACAAAACTACTTTAAAAATTAAGGCTAAATTTCTTGGGAGAATAGAAACATGAGAAACACAGTAAGGGACATAGAAGCTAGAAATAAGAAAAATATCATGGGGGTCATCTAGGTCAATTGGTGTCTTAGTTATCTAGTGCTGCTGTAACAGAAATACTACAAGCGGTTGGCTTTAACAAAGAGAAATTTATTCTCTCACAGTCTACGAGGCTAGAACTCAGAATTCAGGGTGCCAGCTCCAGGAGAAGGCTTTTTCTCTCTGTTGTCTCTGGGGGAAAGTCCTTGTTATCAATCTTCCCCTGGTCTAGTAGCTTCTCAGTGCAGGGACCTTGGGTCCAAAGGACGTGTTACCCTCCTGGTTCTTCATTCTTGGTGGTAGGAGGTCTCTCTGTCTCTCTGCTCCCTTCTCTCTTTTATATCTCAAAAGAGATTGACTCAGGATACAACCTAATCTTGTAGAGTAAGTCCTGCCTCATTGATATAACTGCCTCTAATCCTGCCTCATTAACATCCAGAGTTATTGAAAGGGGTCCTTAAATCCATACACGTATCAGGATTTATTCTAGAAAGACTAAGAAAATATTCAACTAGTATATTCAGGATCCACAACATTTTTGGATATTACAAATGAGCTGGGAATCCCTTAGATAGAGGAAAGAGGTGGGGGAGAGCAGGATATCCTTGACTCCAGGTGTGGCTATACCATTGGTCATCCTAGCCCAGGACTGGGGTGGAGCTGGGGCCTAGCATACACGAACACCATACAGTGGGGTCTGGAAGTTTACTGGTGACTCTCATTTGACAGATGTGGAAGTAGTCGAGCCAAAACCCAAACAGGCTAGTTTGACTTCTAAGCTACATTGCCTTGAGACATGGAGAAGTCCCCATGACTAAGTGTGCACTGTCAAAGTATGGGGTTTTATCCTCAGGCCAGTTGCCATTCTACCCCAGCACCCTCTCAGTTGTGGCCTCCCCTCTCTTTCCAAAAAGTGGGCTTCTCACAGCTGAAAGAAAAAGAGGCAATTTTCTCCACATTGACTCTCTGAGGTGGAGATGGGGTGCTGACAGAAACAAGGCAAGGGACAGGGCAGAAGCTGAGGAAGGGCTGGAGTTAAGGCCCAGTTGAGAGAAGTCACATATTGGTGCCTCAGTCATCCCTCATGCTCCATGACCACCAGGGGGCAGCCCTTGCCTTGCCAGGGCACCTCTGTCCTACACCCTCAAGTGCGATGGCTTTGAAAGAGGCAGCCACTGGGCTCAGAGGGGTGTGTGTGGCGTGGGGGGAGGGTGGGGCGGCGGGGGTTGACCCATTAATTCATTGCCGTCGAGTCTTTTACAACTCATAGCAACCCTACAAGACAAAGTAGAAGTGCCCTATATGGTTCCCAGGCTGTAAATCTTTATGAAACAGACTGCCACATTTTTTTCTGCAGAATGGCTGGTGGGTTTGAACTGCCAACCTTTCGGTTAGCAGGCAAGTACTTTTAACCACTGCACGGCCAGGGCTCCTGAGGTGGGGGTTAGAGATGGGCATTTGCCCCTGGGTGCAAGTCCAAGGGGGTGCCAGACGAGGCCAGCCCACGAATCACATCCTGCCTTTCCTCTCCCTCCCGCGCTGCGACAAGGCCAGCCGGAGTGTAGGGCGCAAATTTAGAGATTGGTCCTGGGCTCTCGCTACCCTTGCTACACCTCTGACTGGACTGGCTGATGGAGAATGGCTGAGTGGGTCAGTCCCAGATTATGTGGCATGTTGTGGTTTTCCAGATGGCTTGTTGTTGTTAGGTGCCATCCATTCAATTCCGGCTCATAGCGACACTATAGGACAGAGTAGAAACTGCCCCATAGGGTTTCCTAGGTTGGAATCTTTACGGGAGCAGATCGCCAGGTCTTTTCTCCCGCTGAGTGGCTAGTGGGTTGGAACCTCTGACTTTCAGGTTAGCAGCTGAACGCTTAACCACTGTGCCACCAGGGCTCCTTTTAGGTGGCTTAGAAAGGTTAAATAACTTGTTCAATATTATAAGAAAAAAAAATTAAATGAAAAGATTATATAACCAGTTAGTGGGGAGCTGGCATTTAAACCTAGCCTGACTCCCTTCGTTACCATTAGACTACTGGCTCCCCACCAAAAAAAAGCTCCAAATCACTGCACCCTGAAGGGTGGGAACTGGACAGTCTATTAATGTATCATGAAACAGAGCTAGAAGCACAGACACAAAGAAAAAAGTCTGTATTAATATAAAGGAGTCAGAAAGTGTGTGGCGAGGGCTGGGCACGTGTTTCACTCGGCATATTACATGCAGTTATTCTTTTCTATGTGCTGAATTATCTCAAGTAGGTATGTATATATGTGGCACACTCTTGTACTAATCCCTGTATAACCTTGGAGTTACATGTAATGCAATGTGTCTTTGTGTCTATAACATTCACTACATTTTATGTAATGGGCACTTTGTAGGTTCTCGATCAATGTTAATCAAATGGTGAATAAAATAATTAATGAGTGGCTTTCCCAATGGGTAATGTGTCCTTTTGGAATGCACTAGATAAAGCAGACCTCTGCTGGGGGTGTATTCCTTTAATGAAGATCTGAGTATGAATCAGTCCAAACTTCTCCATCAGTTGCACTCATCCTGCCAAACCATCCAAGTCAACACAATCTATGTAAATGCAGCTTCCAGACGAAGTTTCTAGCCACCTCCTCCACTGCCCCTTCAACACCAATCAGTTGACTTCCCCTACTCCTCTCATATATATAAATTCTGAAACAGCCCTAGCAGGAGGGCCAGACTCCAAGGAAATAGATGGGTGAACCTGGGCACTGATGGGCAGTGAGGAGTGGAAATAGGCTAGCTTCTGGGTCCAGAAGAGCTCCTGGAGGCTTATTCTGGGTAAAGGGCTGGCCTTCTTAAACTTCAGAAGGAGGGCAGAACCACATCAGAAGGTGGGAAGAACCACATCCTGGTCTCAGCCGCCCACCCACCCTTGCCTATCAACCTACCCACCCTTTCCTCACCAGGCATCTGAGCCCTACCCTGCCCCTCACACTTAGGCAACTTGCCCAGCAGCTGCTTGTGCCTCCTAGAGACCCAGGCATCTTCATCAGCAGCATCCTCTCTCCTCAGGGAGATGTGCCGTGCAGTTGATGCTCAAGGTCCCAGGCAGTTGAGGTCCTTGGGGAGTGATGTGAGTCTTGCGTGTCATAGGAAGCTCCCCACCCCCGCTGGTGACCGAAGGCCTGGCCTCAAGCAGTGGGTTGTTCCTCCTCCACTCAGACCTCACTGCTCAGGACCCCCTCGCCAACTCAACCACCCTCCGACATGGCCTGGATGTTGTTGCTCATCTTTATCATGGTTCATCCAGGTGACAGGGCTTTCAAGGAGTGTGGGGCTGGGAGTAAAGTGGGGGGGGGGCAGGGAGGCAGGACGCATGGATGCCCAAGGGAGCAGACTTGAGGAGGCTGCTGAGCATTAAGCCCTGAGGGGATTGGCTAGGAAAGGGGAGTGGGAGCCGATGGGGTCCTCCGTAAAGCTGACAGCCAGGGGACTCCCCCAGTTCCCTCCCTGCCCCACGCTGAATTTCTCTGTCACCTGGCTGGGAGGGTCATTCCCAGTTTGACCCCAGATCCCTTTTCTTGTCAGTCTCCTCAGTCTCCCTTCTAAAAAAGGTTATAAGGACCAGTAAAAAGGCTTGAAGGAAGGAAGGACTTGAAGGAAGGGGCTAGGTTGTTTTTTTCTTTTTTTTGAGGGGCCAGTTTTAATTTGATGAGTTTAATAAGCCAATTAAATTTGACTCATTATCTAGGGTCTAGATATATAATCAGGAGTTTGGAAATCTAATTAAATCTAAGATAAATTTCTTAATGAAACTGATTTTAATAAACAGAGAGACTTTAACTGTCAGAAATATTCATTAACTAGGCTCAGTGCTTCTCAAAGTGTGGCTCCAAACCAGCAGCTTCAGCATCACCTGGGACCCCCGCTAAAACTTCTGGGAGTGGGGCCAAGGAATCTGTGGTAACAAACCCTCCAGGTGATTCTGATACACACTCAGGTTTGAGAACCACTGAAACAGAAGAAGGACTAGTGAATTTCACTAACTAGGGAATGTAATGAGTAGTTTTCATCATTTGGTCTAATTCATCAGTTTGTATGAATTAGCTAGGGCTCTCAGCCAATTACAGCCATGCCTTCACCTGGGAGATTTAGTTAACGCTGTTTAACAAAAAGCATAGTGAGAAATGTCATTAGTACTAGACTAATACCTGGAATAATGTAATTAATGATACTAGTTAACAAGGCAGTCATTTTTAATGAGGTTCAATTTGACTGTGATAGGTTAAATTTCAGGAAGACAAGTTACTCCTGAATGTAGCTGGAGAATGATGGGGGAAGTGTGAGGGTGAGATTTGATATGGAAAATAATTTGAAAAACTATTTAACAAGCAATGTTAAGAAATTAGATTGGTAAGGAGGAGAGGGTTGAATGAGGCAGGTTTATTACCCAAAGTGCTTGTCCCTGTGTGCCTTCCATGGTGGGACAACTAGATATCTGATTCCAAGCTGTCTCGTCCTTTCACTTTGGTGTAACTGTGGAGGTATTTCTCTGGGTCTTCTTTCTGTCCCCCAGGATCCTGTGCTCTCTGGGTGATCCAGCCTCCTGAGATTCGGACCCAGGAGGGTGCCACCACCTCCCTGCCCTGCTTCTTCAATGCCAGCCAAGGGAGACCGGCCATTGGCTCTGTCACGTGGTACCGGGACGAGGTGGCCCATGGGAAGGAGGTGAGGAACAGGACCCCAGAGTTCTGGGGCCGCCTGGTCCCCCTTGGCTCTGTCCGCTTCCTCTGTGACCACCAGGCTGAGCTGCACATACGGGACACCCGAGTCAATGACGCCGGAGTCTACCTGTGCAGGGTGGAGGTGCTGGGCCTGGGCATCGGCACAGGGAATGGGTCTCTGCTAGTGGTGGAGAAAGGTGAGGCACAGAGAGGTGGCCCTCTGGGTTGGAGATCCCACTTGGCAACGTCCCTGGAAGTGGAAGGTCGTTCCCAGAAGCTCCCTGCCCCCTACCCCTCCCTAAGCCTGTGCACGCTTTTTCCCCAGTGCCCACTTTACCAAGCCCCTTCCTCTCCACCACCCCACGTTCAGGATCCTGTCAGCTAGAGACCAGCACCATCCTTTACCTCCTCCTTCGGGCTGCATTCTATGCCTTCAGTTTTCTCTCTGTGGCCATGGGCAGCACCATCTATTACCAGGGCAAATGTGAGTAATGGCACCGGGGCAAAGGCAGAGGAGCTGGGAGGAACAGTAAGAGGGCTAGAGAAGGGAGAGACAGAGGCCAAGAAGACAAGGGGCTGTAGTGCTGAGCTGCACTTGTGGTCTCTCCTACCAGGCCCCTGTTGCATGGGAACACCCTGCCATGCCTTGGATGGCCTCTGAGGAGTGATTCCAGATCTGTGATCTCCAGCCCTCTTCAAGGGACTCCTATAAATCCCTCTCTGCCCCACCACTAACTCCCCCTTATCAGTCTCCTGTATTTTCCTCTCCATTCTCTGGGGGCCCCAACATGCCCCTCTCCAGGGGCCCCAGGCTCTTATCCCCTCTACCAAGTCCAGACCAGAAAGGCCCAAGGAGGATGCTTCCCTAAATCGAGCCCCGAGCCCCTTCCCACCACCTTCCTGAGGCTCAACACACCCACCTCTCCCAGGTCCAGGGGGCTGAGGTAGATTCTCCTGAGGTGTGGGGACTATGGCATCTATTATTCCTACTTGTCAACAACCTCATTCTGGCCAGGCCCACAGAAAAATACTCTTTCATGACCTGTAGGGGATCTCGAGTTCTTAAATGCCCTTCTTGATCCAATAAATCATCACTTGACCCCAAAGTGAGTGGGAGTGCAGTGGTGGTAAGCCACTTAAGTTTTGACTGTGTTCATTTTGAATGGGGGCTTGAGATGGACAGAGAAGCCTGAGACACAGGTGGGGAGACCACGGCCTTTACTGAATAAACCACAGGATGACCCTGTCCACCTGCTGGGGTTGAGGGAGGCATCTAGGGGTGCTTAGGTGGGTTTTTTCTTGGCAATGCAGGCATAGTCAGCACTGGGGTCTTCCTTGGCATCCTTCCCGTCTCCCTCGCTGAGGTCGAGCCCCTCAGCACCGCCTGTCCCTGGTAGCCTCTGCAGAGATGCATAGTGGAGCTCCTGCTCTGACGACAGGGCCTGGGGCTTGCACAGAGAGGCAGGTACAGGGGGGTTGGCACAGAGGGGTGGGCACAGGGGGGTGGGCACTGGGTGACAGGTACAGAGGGGCTGGCACAGAGGAGTAGGTATGCAGGGGAGGGCACAGGGGGCTGACACAGAGGGGTGGGCACAGGGGGGCTAACACAGAAGTGGGCACAGAGGAACAGGAACAGAGGGGCTGACACAAGAGTGGGCACTGAGGGGTGGGCAGAGAGGGGCTGGTGGTGGGCCCAGGGAGGGGCCTCCCTCCCTTCCTTCCTTCCTTCCTGGTGGGTTTCTGCCCCCTCCTCCCACCTTTCTTATCTCATTGCTACCCTCTCAGTCTTCCTTGCTCTGTTCTCTTCCTGTGCTCTTCTCTCTCCCTCCCTTTCTGTCTACCAGCTTAAGCCCTTGCTCTTTTCTCTCCTTGCCCTTTCTCTTTGAGTCTCTCTCATTTTCTCCACCTCTCATTTTTCTCTTTTACTTTTTCTCTCAGTTCCTGTCTTTTATTTTCTATTTCTCTTTGTGTATCTTTTTCCTCTCCTTTCTGTCTTGTTTTCTCTTATTTCTACACCATTTCTTTCCTCTCTTCTCATTCTCTTATTTCGCTCTCTCTTTCTGCCTCTCTTTCATTTTCTCTGCCTCTCTCATTCTCCTGCTTTCCTTCGCTTTTTCTCTTGGCCCCACCTCTCTTCTCAGCCCTCAGCCCCTTCTTGTCCTCCCGTCACCCACTTGGGCCTTCTCTTGCCCTCCCCCTTCCCCTGCCCCCAGACTCACCCAGCTCCTCTCCAGCCTCTTTACTGGAAGGAAAAGAAGAAACTCAGCACGGTCCTCCCATTGTGTCTTACCCAACCCTCCCCTCTCGGGGTGTGGAGCCCAGGAGCAGAGTCCCCATCTCAGCACCAGGGAGGCCATGATCAGGAGGGTGTTTCCTCACCTGACTTCCCTGTGGTTCCCATGGATGAAGCTCTTGCCTCTCTCTTTGGACACTCTTCCCTCACCCCTCACACCCAACTCCCACCATCCTCCTCACCCAGGGCCTGTCTGAATCAGTGGAGACGTCTGGGAAAGCAGTAGGAAAGAGCATCGGAGGGGACATTGCTATGGGGTGGGTGAATGGAAGAGGTGAGGGTGGAACTCACCTCTCCGATGGAGCCAACACAGACAGGTGGACAGAATGATCATGACCAGGAGGAGGAGCCCTCCCAGTGCCGGTGCCGCATATATGCACAGTTCTCCTGGGAAAATGGCAAGTATTAAATGGCCCATTTCTCTCTCCAGCTTGCCCATCCTTCTGGCTGGTCATGGATATCCCAGTTCCCCTCTCCAACAGTTTTAAAGGCAGAATCTCCCCTCAGACATTCTTCACCCCAGACCACTTTATCTCACCTCCTACCAGAGGTCCCATCCCTCATCAGTTACCTCATCTTGTATCTGAGACCACCCACTGTCAGGGGCATCCACTGCAGTCCCTGCTGCCTCTAGGCCCTCACTAGGAAGTCCCTTTGCCCCTGCGCCAGCTGGTCCTGAGAGGCCCTGACCACCTACTCATGAACTGACCCACCACTTTTCACTCATTGCTCCCTCTGATCCACAAACCTCCTCATCCAGAAGGGAAGGGCTCCTTACTCATGCAATATGACATCGTTGGCTTTCAAGAGGCCGTAGACTGAGGACTGGCCTTGAGGTTACGATACCTAGCCTCTGCTCTTGGGCAAGTCATGTACCTCAAGTTCCTTATCCGTAAAGTGAGGGGCCCTCTGTTGCAACTGTTTCCTGGGCTGAGGAGCCACACCTTTGTGCCAACTCTGAGCTAAGAACTTGTCATTCGTCACCACTGATCTCCACAACACAGTGGGGGGTTATGGTGCTCATTCCCCAGGTGAGGAATCTCAGTGTTATGGATTGAATTATGTCCCCCCAAGATATGTGTTATAAATCCTAACTTCTATGCCTGTGGTTGTAATACCATTTGGGAATGGGTTGTCTTTGTTATGTTAATGAGACAGGATTAGCATAGGGTGTTTCTTGAGTCAATCTGTTTTGAGATTTAAAAGAAATTAAACAAGAAAGTAGAGAGAGAGAGATGGGGTAAGACTGATGTCAAGACACATCAAGATCTCTAAGGAATCAGGAAGAAGAAGCTAAAGAGACAAGGCGCTCCCTCCAGAGCCAACAGAGAAAAAACCTTCCCCATAGAACCACCGCTCTGGATTTGGATTTCTAGCCTCCTAAATTGTGAGAAAATAAATTTCTGTTTGTTAAAGCCATCCACTTGTGGCATTTCTGTTATAGCAGCACTAGATAACTGAGACAGTGAGGCTCAAGCCACTGACTTTTACAAGGACCCCTAGACCAGAAGTGGCAGAACTGGGGTTCAAGCTCAGCGCTGTCTAGCTCCAGAGCCCACTCTTTTCCCTCTGCCCTAGGCTAACCAGGTGGTTCATAGGGGTATGTCCAGTATTGGATAGTTCTAGGCTCTGGTGAGGGGCCTGACAGAAGAGGAGCAGCCAGGGTCTGGAGTGGATGTGGGAACTGGTAGAAAAATAGGGAAGGGACTGCCCTGCAGTTGGGGCCACTCCCTCAGCCCCAGGGCAACTCACAGGGGCCCTACTTGCCTGGTGTGGAAAGCTGCTCCTCACAGGTAGGACTGGGGCTGAAGTGGGGCATGAGAGAGTGTCTAGGGCCCCATAACTTCCCCTCAGGCATTTCCTGTCCTCCAACCACTGGTTCCTGTTTGAGAGCAAAGAGGGGGCTGTTGACTTCACCCCAGAGCCAGATGCACTGACCAGAGTCTGGAAACTGAGATTCTCCAGGGTTAAGAGGAATGCTAGGGTGTGTGGGGAGTAGGGAGCAGAATCATAGCTGACAGGGAGAGCCTGAGGCAGTCATGAGGGGAGTGGTGGGTTATTTTTAATTTCTTTGGGGAACAGAGACCCAGAGGCTGGAGAGGATTCCTCCCTTTTGGGCCTAGGGACCCTCAAACCCATTCTCTCCCTCTCCCATCTTAGCCTCACCTTACTCTGGGGTGTAAGGGTCCTTCCTCCCACAGTCCCCACCACCACCACCATCAGGGTCCCTGTACACTCCCAGCTTACCCAGAGCCTATGGCCTGCAGGGTGGACAGACTCCAGACTGACCTGAGCTTCCTAGGTGGAGAGAAGTGTAGCCGCCTCAGACATTCCTGCCCCTCCTCTGGCCTTAACTTCTCCCCCAGGATTGCTAGGAGAGGAAGTTAAGCTTTGTGGGTTAGGATTGCAACAACTTTCCTTTCAGACTTCTGGGACTGTAACTAGGCCTGTAATCCCCCTCCATTCCAACCATCCTATTGATCCTGGTGAATGTACACCTCCAGGCAGCCTTCCCTGATTAACTTTTCCCAATTACCCTGTTAAAATAAAATCAGTATTAAGCCAATAAGAGAAATTGATTAAAGTTTATTTAATATACAATTTGCAAATCAGGGCAACATTTCTGACTAGAGAGTCAAAATGTCCCAGAGAAGAAAGATCCTTTACAGATTTTTATACCTCAGCTTATTGCTAGTGGTTATTCATTGTCATGGAAACAGGGCCAGAACAAAGTTTACAAAATAATTTGTGAACATGCAGGATCCTATACAACATTTTCTTGAAGAACAATTCAAATAATTACTGATTGACCTTAAAACAGCTTCTAGTCTGATCTTTGGAATTGCTGTTGTCAAACTGACTGCACATAGATAATTCTTTAAAAGAGCACAATGTTCAGGGCAAACATTCTTTATAAATTAAACTGAATTATTGTTTGGTTTACTAGGAGCCCTGGTGGCACAGTGGTTAAGCACTCAGCTGCTAACCAAAAGGTTTGAACCCACGAGCCACACTGCAGGAGAAAGATGTGGCAGTCCACTTCTGTAAAGATTTATAGCCTTGGAAACCCTGTGGGGCAGCTCTACTCTGTCCTACGGGGTCACTATGAGTCGGAATTGGCTCAACGGCGGTGTTTTTTTGTTTGTTTGTTTTTTGTTTTTTTATTGTATGGTTTAAAGATGACTTTCAGGCAGCAGTTTTGGTTTAAGGTTTAAAGATAACCTCTGGGCAATGGTTTCGGGTGCATCATTTTAACCTCAATGGCTCCAGAAACTCTAGATTCCATGAGCATTTGAAATTCTATTCCTCAACTGTTTACACTGCATATACCAAAAGTTCATGATCTTTGCACATGTGTGTGGGCACACACATTGCGGCTCTCACATCAGACTGGGAGCTCTGGCAGATTTGGGATGACTTGCCTGGTGTTCTGGGGCTGTACGCAGCAGAGTGCTTGGCTAGCTGATTAACAAATAGGACAGTCAGAGGCAGCAAAACTAGATCTACATGAGCACTGCTGATGGGTCTAGGACAGAAAGTTGATGAGGTGCTTGGGAAAGTAGATGGGGACAATCCAGGTGGACTTCCTGCAGGAGGCAGCACTCTGATGTCAGCAAGTAAGAGCAGTGGTCCCAGGCCCTCTGGTCAGAGACCTGGGTGAGGGCCTGTTTGTGGCCCTAACTATGATGAGGAGGGAGCAGGGTGCTAGAAGATTGCATACACAGTCCTTTAGGAGGGTGAAGACTGGGGAGCCCAAAGGGAGGAAAAGGGGAAGGAGATCTGGTGTCTGGGTCCATATGCATTTGTATTTCCTTCTCCAAATTCAGAAACTTTCTGCTACTTTTCCACCCCCACCTTCAACATGCCTCTTGCAGGACAAGAGAACAATACTCAAGGTTTTTTTTTTTTTTGTTAAAAAAACTCTTATCGTTTAAAAAATTCAAAGATAAAGAAAAATTGAAAAAATTATACAGTGAACATATCTCTACCATCTAGAATCTACCGTTAACATTTTGCTGTATTTGCTTTATCACATATCTATCTATCAAGTCGTCTCATTTTTGGATGCCTTTCAAAGTTGCAAACATCAGTACATTTCACCTCTAAACCTTTCAGCACACTTATCATTGACTGGAGTTCAGTATTTGATTCCTCTTTTTTGTGGAGGCTGCGGAAAGTAAAATTTACATACAGTGAAGTGTGCACATCGGAAGTCCATACTCAGTTTTTAAACTGTCTTGCGGTCAAGGCTGGAGCCAGTAAGTCTGGGTTCAAATCCTGGCTCTGCTGCTTACTGTGTGACCTTCCACAAGTTCCTTAACCTCTCTGTTCCCCAGTTTCCTGTCAAGATTAAAAGACTATTATATGTAAAGCGTGTAAGATCAGTGGCAGGCACATGCTAAGTGCTATTTGTATATTATTATTATTACTATTAATATTGTTATCTTAAACACATAGAGACGTCATCAAGGGGAGATGATCTGGGACGACCTCCACCTTCCACGGACCTGATCTTTTCTCCCTTCAACTCCTACCACACTGCCTACCTATACCATTCATTTGGTCCTTGCTGCTTTGTTTTGCTTATTCATTCATTCATCCTTTGGTTCATTTATAGGCATTTAATAAGTACCTACAAGTGGATCAGGCTCATCCTAGACTGTGAGAGGCGAGGGTGTGTCTCACCTCTCTCCTATCTGCACTCTGCATACAATGGAAGTAGTGCTCCGTTTCCATCCCTCCCCAGTGAGTCAGTGGTGAGGCTGAGACTTTCTTCAGTGGCCATTGCTGTACATGGCTTAACTCTGCCTTTCCTACCATCAAGAGGGGGATAGGCGTGAGCAAGGCAATGGGAGGGAGAGGTCAGTGTGGGAATATGTTCTTCTCAGAGATCCCTCAAGACCCCAGTTCTTATCCTCCTACTCCAGCCCCTGACTTCGGGAAGAGAAGGCAGCCCTCCCTCCAACAACCATCTGGGGGTGGGGTGGTGAAGAAGAATGCAGACTGCACTGGAAACCTAGAGTCCTGTGTTCTCATTACAGCCTTGCTGCCTGACTTCCTGCAAGCTACCTTCCCTCCCTGGGCCTTGGTTTCCCTCCCTGCTGAGCCAGAAGATCTCAAAGGCCCCCTCCAGTTCAACTCTGAAAGTCTGTCTCTCCACCCCAACTCCTTCCCCAGTTCAGAGAACCCAGGCATCCAGCTGCCCTGCCCCAGCTCTGGGTAAACAGGAAGCTGGGTGAGGGGAGCAGGGGTGTGTGGAAAGTCCCAGCCAGGTGTGTGGGTCTATGGGGAGGGGGTGGCCCCACCTCTGGGTATGAAAGCCCCCCCTGCCCTGGCACTGGCTCACAGTCTCCATGGAGGCACTGGGGCTGGAGGGCCGGGGTGGGAGGCCCCAGGGGAGGGGCTGTCTCCTGCTGGCTGTGGCTGGAGCCATTGTACTAGGGTCTGTGGTGCTGTCTGTGCCTATCACTGTCCTGACTGTGCTGGCCTTGGTGCCCCAGGAGCGGGGAGGACTGGTGAGTGGCTGCAACAGGAGGGCTCTATCCTATCATGCTCACTCACCTCCTGCTATGCTTTTGGGACTCCTGCCTCATCCTGCTCAGCTGTCTCTTCTGTCCCTGGTGCAAATGTCTTGACTATCTCTTCGCTGGCTCTTTCCAAGCTCCCATGATGCCGTGTTTCCTGTTGTCTCCAAGCTCCTTACTGGTTGCCTGTCTGTCTTCCCTCATCCCTCCCAAGACACAACTCAGGCCCAAGGACATGCCTTGCTTGCTCTCCCTCCCAGGGAGATGTGTGTTGGGGGTGGGGCAGGTGGGAGAAACGTCAGGCTTGGAGCTTGGGTCCATGTTGGGAGGGGTGGGGTTGGCGTCAGCTGAGTCTAAACTCTGGGTACTGTGACCCCAACCAGGTAACAGAGACCGCTGATCTGGGGGGACAGACCCAGCAACAACTGGGTAAGAGCAGATCATTTCCCCCTCCCCTTCCCACCCCTAAGGCACCCCCCAGCTCTTGTCCTTGTCCCCTTACCCTCTTCCTCCAGGAATTTGGGTGCTCCATCCGTGAACCCTGGGGCCCTGTCCTCTTAGGGGGACCATGCATGGGTGGCCCCCCAAACCCCCAATCATGAACTCTGTGCTCCTTCCAGAGTTCCAGAAGCTGCCCGAGGAGAAAGCGGAAACAGATCTCAGCCCGAGGCTCCCGGCTGCCCACCTCATAGGTAAAGACTTCGCAGACCTGCATAAACGTTTACATAGCCGGAGAGAAATCAGTCAAGGATCCAGCGGGCTCAGCTCACTGTTACAAGGGTGACGGATCTGCCTGCCCGCAGTTAGAGTCCCTTTGCCCTATTATTCCAGTGCTCCACTACCTCTAGCACCTAAAGAGTCCACCCTTCCGCTGGTCTCCCTATTTTAGCTTCTAGCTTCCCTCGGGGAGCAGGCAAAACCTGGCCTGGATCTTCCCACCAGAGCGCTCTGCACCTACATCCAAGTTCCCTCAGCCCCCAACACGTACTCATTCCAGAGGCAGCACCACCTCCCCATTCCTCCTCCCCAGGATTGATTCCTGCAGGGGGATAAAAGCCTCACTCCCACGCCCATGTCCACTCTCCCAGGAGTCCCAGGTCTAGATTGCTCCTATCAGGATCGGATTCCCCGAAAACCGACGGACCATTTTTTCTGCAGGCTCTTGGAAGACTGGGCAGGGGTTAGGTTGGGAGACGAAGAAAGAAGAAGCGTTTCTGAGAAGCGGCACGCAGTTCTTAGGCGCGGAGGGGCTGGCCCTGCCGCAGGACGGCCTCTATTACCTCTACTGTTACGTCGGCTACCGGGGCCGGGCGCCCCCTGCCGGCCGAGGACCCCTCGGCCGCTCGGTCACGCTGCGCAGCTCGCTGTACCGTGCTGGGGGCGCCTACGGGCCAGGGATTCCCCAGCTGCTGCTCGAGGGTGCCGAGACTGTTACATCGGTTTTGGACCCGGCCAGGAGGCACGAATACGGACCCCTTTGGTTCACGAGCGTAGGGTTCGGCGGTCTGGTGCAGCTCCGGAGGGGCGAGAGGGTGTACGTCAACATCAGTCACCCCGATATGGTGGACTACAGGAGAGGGAAGACTTTCTTTGGGGCTGTGATGGTGGGGTGAGGGCCGCCCGCGTCCTAGGAAACACGACTGCATGGTACAATTGTGTGAATCAGCCCAGATATTGGGAACTCAGACACCTGGGAGCCCATGGCAGTGGAAAAAATGTAGGAAACAGTTTGGAAACTGATTTTGAGCCTGATGAAAATAAAGAATGTAAAGCTTTAGTGCTGCCAATGTAGATGCTGAAATGCTAATATCTTAAATCAGGGTGAGCACACAAGTGGTTATATTATTCTCTATTTTTTTGGGGGGGAGGGGTTGCTTGCAGCAATTCATAATACTGCTTATGGGCTTTGCTTCCTGAGATGGTGGTCTGCTAGTCCCCCTGAACCCCGGCCTCTGAATGGACAGGCCCCAACAGTAGCCCAGAGGGAGTTAAGAAGGAACAGGAGCTCCCAAAACCCAAAGCATCTCCAAGCATGATTCTCAGAACCACATGGTCTCCACCAGATACAGGCACTATGCTCTTTTTTCTCGGGTCTCTCCCAACAGAGAGAGGGGTCACTGTAGGGAAAGACAATCACCAGAGTAAGAAAGGCCCAGTGCAGAGTAAGCCCTTGATGTGGCTGAGGAATGATGCTCTGAGGGGCCCAACACTTCTCCCTGCTGGCTGCCTGGAGGCACCTTCAGCCACTGCCCACCCCCCTTCCGGCCCCCCTCCCGCCCCCTCAACACTTCTCTCCAAGGAGCAATGAGCAGCTCACCAGATCTGAAGGGAGGCAGCTGCTGGAGAAAGTTGGGGAGGATGTTTGAGAAAGAGGGAGAGATGGGGTGGTAGGGGGAGGAAAAGCTGATGCCGCCCAGTCCAGTCCAGAGGGGGATGGAAAGTCCTTACCCCTGGTTCACACTTTAGGTCCTCCTTCCTGTAAGTGGGCAAGAGTCAGGGGCCCCCGCGGTGAGTTAACAGCACCCTCCCCAGGACGACTGACTTTCAGCCCCCACCTGGAGGAGGCAGAGGGGGACCCAAGGCCCTATCTAGGTCACTCCCACGGGACAGCTTACCCCTGTGGGCACACCACGGGGTTTTCCCCTCCCTGGCAACCCTGGGCCGGAAGGAAAAGCTCTTGAGCCTAGCTGGGGTTCTTACTCTCTGGGTCCGCATTTCTTAACTCCATATTTTTCTTTGACTCTGTCTCCGGGAAAGAGCTCCTCCTGGATATGGGGAGTTCTCTTTCTGGTTTGCCCACCTCACACTCCTTCCCGTACCATTTGCCAAGAAATTGGTGACAAAAGACTGGCATGTGGGCCCTTCACCTATATGTTATTGCTTGTTTTTAATATTCTTCCTTAGGTTCCGTTTTGCTCACTGAGAAAATGGAAGGGGATAGACGGCTGAGGGCTGGATATCTGAGTGTCTAGCTGGATAAAAGAAGAAAGCCAGGATCCACTGAGTGCCTACCACATGCCAAACCCTGCTAGGTGCCCTGAGGTAGTTATTGCTTCTGTTCCCTAGTGACCCCATTAGCAGTGGGCATTCCCATCTCCACTTGATAGATGAGGTTAAGTGACTGGTTCAGGTTGCACAGTTAGGACAGGGCTGGGTGGGTGGCCTGGAGCAGGGAATTTGGAGTCCAGACACCTGAATCCTTGGAAGTTCCTTGGCTGTGATTCAGGTGCCTGAGAATGTGGCTCCTCCCTGCTCTGTCAGGCCGAGGCAACAGCCGGAAATCTTACCTGAGCTACAGGACTTTCCCGTCAGGGATTGGAATTCCCAGAGTCGGAAATTCCCATTCCCTGAGGGCAAGGTAATTGGGTTCAGATTTCTGTTTCCTGAGGGAGGGGGTTATTTGGCTGGACTTTGTTTCTGTAGGGTCTCCTGGACCCCGGGTTGTCTCAGAGTCTAAGGACTGGGGACTGGGTCTGAGGAATCTTAAGTCCTGTGGAAGGAGGACTTCAGGAAGGGAATCGCTATCTCCAAGGAGAGGAAGCTGCAGTATTAATTCCAAGAAAGAGACCATGTTTCTTTTCTAAGCAAACTTTATTTCTCGCCACTGACCAGTAGGGCGGTTACAAACACAACTCCCCTGGGGAGCAGAGGTTCAGCGATATAGCGACAATCTGTCACCAAATCAGCATTATTCAGACAACTTGATCAGATAAATATTTTTTAAAAACATAAGCAAAGGGAGGCACAGAGGCCAGGAGGCCAAGTGGGAATAGCCTACGGTTCAGCTCCGTTTTCACAGAAAACATGTCTAAGCATAGGCAGCCCTTACATTGGGTCCGCCAGGGCCCCTGACCTCCCGAATAAATACATTCTCATCAGTAAATAAATAAATAATAAATAAATAATAAATAATCACAAGTGCAAACATAAATAGAGGGGGCCCGATTTGTGCGGAGAGGCAGGGGCTCCATATCTCAGGGAAGGGTCTGGAAACTTCTGGAGAGAGGGAGGTCTGAGGTCCACTCATGTCAAGTTCTAGGTAAGGTCTTCTCAGGATGTTCTGAAGTGTGCTGGATAGAACAAAAGCCTCTCTGGCTTCCACATTCTGGATGTCCCAGTTTGCATTCAGGGATCTGGTAGGTTCTGGAAGCCTAAGTTTGGATTCTAGGCGGTGGCCAGTGCCCCATTGTCCAGGTTACACATCCCTGCATCTCAGGTTTCTAAGTGTTGTTGTTTAAAGTTATAAACTTGGGCCCACCCCTGAGCCCCTAATTTCCTTTCTAAGCCAGGAGGGGATGAAGGGGCCTAAAGAAATGGATTACAAAGGGACTGAGGTGGGTGAGGGGATCGGGGAAGGATGAGTGTCCATTCTCCCTCATAAGGCAATGATCCCAAAGTAGACCTGCCCAGACTCAGCAAAGTCGAGATAGTTGGGCAGATTAATCTCAGCACTGAGTCGATCACCCTTCTCCAGCTGAAAGACTCCTCCCAGGTAGATGGGCTCATACCAGGGCTTGGCCTCAGCCTCCTCCGGGGTCTCCCTATGGCAAGGGCTCTTGATGGCAGAGAGGAGGTTGACCTTGGTCTGGTAGGAGACAGCGATACGGCTGATGGTGTGGGTGAGGAGCACATGTGTGGAAGGGCAGCCTTGGCCCTTGAAGAGGACCTGGGAGTAGATGAGGTACAGCCCGTCAGAAGGCACCATCAGCTGGTTGTCTATCAGCTCCACACCATTGGCCAGGAGGGCATTGGCACGCCGGCTCAGCCACTGTAGTTGTCCCTCAGCTTGGGGGTTTGCTGGAGGGAGGGAGAGAGGGAGAGAGAGAGGTGAGTCGGTGTGACCCAGTCAGTCAGTTCCACTCTCCACATCCTGGCCCTCAAGTTCTGCCACCACCCCCCCCGCCATGCCCCGCATCCGGTTCCTGTCCGCTCTTTCTTCCCACATCCCATCTGGCCATGAGATTCTGAGTATTCCCCTTAAGATCTGTGTTATTCCTCCACTGTCCCCTTAAGCTCACACTGTCTCCAGAGGTCTCTCTACTCTCAGCCCCATTTAGTCCCCCAATCCTATCCCTCCACATCCCATCTCTCCCTCCTTTTAGCCCCCAAGACACAGCTTCAGAATTCTTACCTACAACATGGGCTACAGGCTTGTCACTTGGAGTTCGAGAAGATGATCCTGAGGAGGAAAGAGGAAAGAAAAAGTGAGACCCTTAAGCTTCCCAGAAAAATATACTCTTACCTTGACCTCCATTCCTCCTCCCCAAAAACCAAAACTCTGAAATCTACCCCCCTCTCATTGGTTCCATCCCAGGACTAACGCCCTTCCTCACTCAAACCCAGCATTAGGTGATTTGGGAGACACTTACTGAGTGTCTGGGCCAAGGGGTTGATTAGATGGAAGCCATCTGGGAACTGCTGAGGAGAAGAAAGAGGAGTTAGCATTAGAGACAAGTCCCCACAAAGGGAGAAATAGCTGGGCTGCTAATTTAGCTTCGTTTCTCTGCCCTGAAGCCTCTGGTTTTCTTTCTCCATTCATCCATTTATTCATCCATCCATCCTTCCATTCAACAACTCTGTCATCGAGTGCCTTCCATGTACCAGACACCTTATCTTCATCTTTCCTTATCTCTTCATCTCTCTCCTCATCTCTTTCATATTGCCCACATCTCATTCCACATTTCTTTCGATCTCATCAGTTTCATTCATATCATTTGTTTCTTCTCCATATCTCTACCCACACCCCATATCACTCTACCTAGCTCTTTAGATATATCCAATTGTTTGTTCATTTGTTTGTTCATTCATTCAACCAATATTTAGCGAGCTCCTTCCACGTTCCAAGCATCCTATCTCTTTATATTTCTCTTTCTCCATCTCTCCACATCTCTTTCTGACTCCCCGTCCTTCTCTGTTTTTCCTCCCCATCTCTCCCCATCTACATACTTGTACCCCCCACTCCATCTCTTTTGCCCCAATTTCTGAATGAAGGCTGGTGAGGCACTCACCTCTTCCCTCTGAGGGCCAATCACCCCGAAGTGCAGCAAGCAGAAGAGCGTGGTGGCTCCTGCCACAAGCAGGAAGGAGAAGAGGCTGAGGCACAGGCACCGTCTGGAGCCCTGGGGGGCCCCTGCCTTCTTGGGGAGCGCCTCCTCAGCCAGCTCCACATCCCGGATCATGCTTTCAGTGCTCATGGCGTCCTTTGCAGAGGGGCTCAAGTGCAGCTGGAAGATGGTGAAGCCCTGGGGTAGTGTGTGTATGAAAGAGAGAATCCCACCAAGCTGCTTGTCTGGGGGTGTGGTGTCTGAGGGATTCTTTCCAGGGGTGTCTGGAGTTGCTTCTCTCCCTCCTGTCTGGTCCCCTGGTGTCCTCGCTGAGGGAGTTCTGCTGGCTGGGTGTGTAAACAGCTGCCTTTATATGCCCCTGGGGCACAGGAGGGCGGGGAGAAGCTTTCATTCAACCAGTGGAAAACTTCCTTGGTGGAGAAACCCATGAGCTCATCTGGAGGAAGCGGTAGTGGGCCCTACACCTTCTGTCTCGGTTTCTTCTCCATCGCGGGGGCGGAGGTTTGGAAAGTTGGGGACACCCAGGCATCAAGGATACTTCCCACCCTCCCCATATGGATTCTGAGGACAGCTTCCTGGGCCAGTTATGGATGTATGCGTAGGACCCTGGAGGCTTGATCCCAGTTCGCCCCTGTTCCTCAATTCTCATTGTCTCCATTTCTTCTGAGTACCAGTTCTGTGAGCTGTTTGCCTTTGATTTCCACACAGGACTCACATGGGGGTAGAACTCCAAAGGCAGGGTGAGAGGGGCTTCAGAAAGCTGAGTCCTTGATGGGGAGGAAGCTGGGAGCTAAGGCCTGTGTTTGGGTCTTGGGTCCTGAGATGTGTGCTTGGACCGCTTGGGAGAAGGAGCTGGGGGAAGAGGGACTAACCTGAGACTAGGGGTGTGAATGGGGCCTCTGGAAGGGCTGGTGGGCATAGCAGGGACAAGTCTGGGACAGCCCCAGGGGAGTAACAGCCCTGGGAATTCACAGACCCCACGGGGTGGATCTTCTCCTTTCATTCTGACCTTGGGACTCAAACTGCTGGTTTCAGTCTTGGCTTCTGAGGGAACCTGAGGTCTCTGATTTTTGCATAAAGCCCCTATCCCTAGAGCCCCTGTATGTGGCCATGTGTCCGAGAGAACCCCTGTTCCCCCCAAATTCCTGGAGATACTCCCACACCTTAGAGCCTCTGTGTATGCTCATGTCTCTCCAAAGAACTTGTTCCTCCCAAATTCCTGCAGACACCCCCACTCCTCAGAGCCCCTGTGTGTGTCCATGTCTCCCAGAGAACCCCAGTTCCCCCAAATTCCTAGACACGCCCACCCTCAGAGCCTCTGTGTGAGCCCATGTCTCCTCAAACAACCCATTCCCTCCAAATTCCTGGCGACACCCCTGCCCCTCAGAGCCCCTGTGTGTGCCCATGTGTCTTCAAATCTCCCCTGCATTCCACACCCTCCTAGTCCTGGAGGCTCTTCTATTCCTCAGGGCCCCGTGCACACCCCACCCTAAAGTCTTGAACATTCCCCCCTTTGATGTGGTCGCCTCTTCTCAGAGGCCTCCTGTATCCCCATTCGTCAGAGCCCCTACATGTGACCATGTCTCCTAGGGGTCCCTGACCTCCACCCCTCCAGACCCTGGACCTCATTTCCCCTCTGTTGTCTTAGCTTATCCTTTGGTTCCCCTGCAGCAGTGTGGCTGCCCCTTTGAGTCCACCACACATCCCCAGAGCCCCTTGGGCCTCTTTATCTCCTTGTTCTCCCACAGCTCCTGCTGCCTTTGAGGCCTCTTTTCCTCCCTCCATTTTGCATACAGACCTGGGAAATTCTCCTCTCCCAGACAGACAGATATACACAGACGGCATTTCAGAGAGTTTTATTGGTCTTCGTTGAGGGTGCAGATTCCACCCCAGGGGTGTCTAGTTAAACAGTGGCTAGCTCTCAAGAACTTTCCACTTTCCTTCTACAGCCTCTCAGAATCTCAGACCTACTGTTTTTTTCTCTCTGTCTGTAGGCCAGCCTATGCTGATGCCCTTTCATTCTTCATCTCTTGGGTCTGTTTATCTCTCTGTCTTCTAATGTCTCTCTATTATTCTGCTTTCTCCATCTTCCATAAATAAATAATTTAATTTTCCCATCATAAATAATTACCCCTCCCCACCTCCAGTCATCCACTCAAGCTCCTCCACATGTCTGCTCCTCCTCCATGTCTGGATCTAGGCTCCACCCAGACTGGCAGGACAGAAGGCTCTGGGCTGGGAATTTCTAGGCAGGCTTGAAATCCTTGGTGGAGCATCCGGGGTGGCTAAGGAAGGTGTGGTCCCCTGGGAGCCCAGAATTCCTCCTTGGAAGCTCCAGTGATTTGAGTGGGGGAAGACTTGAGACTGTTGGAATGGTCAAAGGAGAGGTGGTGGTAACCCTTGAAACTGTCAGAATGGAGGCAAAATGGGGAGTAGGCCTTGAAACCAATATTTTTCTTCTTTCTGTTTTTTTCCAAGTTCTACAGAGCAAAGGCTCCAAAGAAGACACTACTGGGGCTGAGGAGTAGGTGGGAGCTGCCGACTGTGTGAGTGGATAGCTGGTCTCCCCGGGTGAGCAGGAACACAGCCCCCTGGTACACTGACCGCACCCAAGGTCCCTGTGGCCCTGGGCACACGGACTTCTGGGCACTGAGGAGAGGCACATGGGAGGGGTACTGGGAGGAGAAGAGCTGGACCTCATGAGCCAGGTAGAGAGGAGTGGGGGTGGCCTTGGGGGAGCAGCCTTCCCCGGAGAAGACCACCTGGGAGTAGACAAAGTAGAGGCCACTTGTGGGGACCAGGAGGGAATTGTTGCTCAAAGCAAAGCCATGGCGGAGGAAGGCGTGATCCGTGTTTGCTCTCCAGCGCAGAGAGGTCTGGGTGCTGGGGTCTCCTAGGAAGAGCCATGGGGGCAAGGGTCAAGGGTCTGGGGACTCAGTGGTCTCACTCCCTGGGGAAACAGGCACTAGATGACTTAGTCCCTGGGGCATGGTTAGGGGAGAGATGGGGGCTGGACACCTCTGTCCTTGGGAGGTAGGGCAAGCAGGGGCAGAGATGGAGTAGATGCTTGAGGTCTAGGCGGGCTGAAGGGTGGGAGTTGGATGTCTGGGCAGTCAGGTGGATGCTTACCAATGAGGTGAGCAGCAGGTTTGAGGGTGCCTGAGGTGAAGTGCTTCTTGGGGTGCTGCTGGGCAGTCGGAGCAGCTGAAGGTGAGAGGCCAACCCCAGGGAGCCCCTAGGAGAGAACAGAGTTAGAGGGGGCTCCAGGACCCAAGGCTCAGCTGGGCCACCCCAGAAGCTCCCATTCTCCTGCTGCCTCACCTGGGTTTCAGACAGCAGGGCCAGCAGCAGCCCCAGGAGGAGGAGGAGGAGGGGGTTGCCATGCACCCTCAGGAGGTAGAGGCGCCCAGGTCGTGTCATGTGGAGAACCTGCAGGGAAAGAGACAGTGAGCGGGGCGGGGCGCGCTGCGGAAGAGGGCCTCCTGCCCTCGGAGACAGCCACCCTGAAAGACAGGGCGATAGACAGAGAAGGGGACAAAATGCAGTCAGGGAAACCCCGAAGTAAGTTGGGGGAGAGAGACAGAAAGAGAAACAGAGGTGGGAAGGGAACAGAGAGCAGAAGGGAACAGAGCAGCAGAAACAGAGAATGTGTGACAGAGACAGAGAGTCAGACACAGGGGAACAAACCAAAACCAAACCCACCAAGCCAAGCCTCAGGCAGACTGAGGCACAGGAGAGACCGGGCACAGGCCAAGAGGCAGGATGTGGCGGCAGGAGTCCACCACCAGGCAGCAAAGGAGATGGGGCGAGAGAGTCTCACCTGCTGTGCAGGGCCCCTGGGCCGGGACGCCTGGGTCCCTTTATAGAGGAAGCGGCAGTGGCAGCGTAGCAGTTGGCGGGCGGTTCTAGGCCGGGGCTGGGGCCCGGGGAAGCCCCCAGGGCTTAGAAGATGCTGCTGTTTAGTCGAAGGCAGGAAAGGCTGAGGCCTAGGAGAGAACCGCAGGCTGGGGGCTCAGGCAACTGAGTTCTGGGAAAGGGAGTGGGGTCAGGGGAACTGTGGGCTGGGAGGGCCAGGGTGCAGGGTCAGGCTTAGGAGTTTCAAAGAAGGGACAGTAAATTCGAGGAGAAGGAGGGGGAACAACTGGGGTGTGGGCTAGAGGCCTGGTTCCCTGAAGAGCGATCATATAGAATACCTCTGCATCCTTGGCAGATTAAAGGCTCCTTTCTGTCTCCATTTCCTTCTCGTGTACCCCCTTGCCCTTGTCCCAACCCACCCAAGTCACACTCATCCCAGTATGTGTACTTTCCAGGTTGTCTGGTAGCTTTTATATCAAGAAGTTCCATTATATACCCCTTGCCTGGGACATCTGGTTTATGCCTATTGTCCTGGTGAAAATATGAGTCCCTTTTTGTTCTTAAAATGTCCTGGTTTGGAAGATAGATTTTATGGTCACCTTACTCAGAGATGATACCATGGACTTATGTGAGATGGGATCTCATCCCATTCCTGACGGGTGCCCTCGACCTTGTCCTGACCTCAAGTGGCCCTCAATGATCAGACTTAGAGAATCCAAGACAAACGCGCACTCCAGGCTCAAGGAATGCAGCAGACAACTTCTGAAGTTCTCTGCAAGGGAAGGCTTCAGAATTCTACACAGGAGGGTGGTGACCTAAGATGAAGTGGGGACAGCTAAGTTACTTGTCTTGAAATTGCATTTGCAGAGCCAATACATGTTATGTTTTTTTTAAATTTAAGGATTTTTCCCTTTTATTGATGTATAACTTACATACAGTGAAATGCACACCTAAGTGTACAGCTTGATGAATTTTTACATGTGCATATAGCCATGTAGCCACCACCCAGTTCAACATATTTTCTGGACCCTGGCAAGTTTCCTTGGGCCCCCTCCCAGTTGCTACCCTCCAAAGGTAACAAATTACTCTCTAACCTCTATCACCGTAGAGATTAGTATACCATAGTTTTGAACCATAGTTTTGAACTTCATATAAATGAAATCATACAGAATGTACTCATTTGTGTCTGGTTTCTTTCACACGACATTGTGTTTGTGACATTCATCCATGCTGTTGAGTGTATCAGCAGTGTTTTTTAAATTGCAGTGTAATATTCTATTGCATGAATATACTCTTAATTTATTCATCCATTTTTCTGCTGACTGGTATTTGGTTTATTTCCAGTTTTTGGTTAATATGAATAAAGTTGATAGGAACATGACCCAGTTTTCGCTTAGCTTGTAAGTTGTAGATTTAAAAAAAAAAAAAGGCAAAGTTTCTAAAGATGATTAGTTTTTTCAC